TCATCAATCTGTACAACGCTTCCCTCTGAGAGTCAATCTTAATCATTGACACTATCCACCTCTCATTTTGACCTATATATATATACATATAGTTTTTTATGTATATATCTAGCCATATTTATGAGGAATTTTGTATATATATATGTATATATGTATAGACATGTACATATGTATATGCCTTTGTTTTGTTTTGCTTATGGAGCCTGTAACAAAAATAATTTCGCTCTGGGATTATTAAAGTATTTCTGATTCTGATTCTGATTCTGATTAATCATTTCATTGTGTACATTTAGGACTGTGGAGGGCCTAGCAGCAGGAAAAGTGGAGAAAAACTGGAGAAAAGAGAGAAAACATTCAGGTTAAGTTTCAGGTTCCTGCCCAAAAACTTTAGATTAAACTTTAACACCAACAGATAACACCTGAGAGAGGGGGGGTCTCTCTAAAATGTCTAAAAGCGTTTTCCTTTAGATTTAAACAGGAAAAAATCAGGAAAAGCTGAGATTTCTGAGCTCTTTGAACACAACAATGATTTTCCTTCATCTAAAGACCTTAAAAAATCTGATTTTCAATTATTTTTCCTTATCTAAAGACCTCAAAAATCTGATTTTCAATTATTTTTCCTTATCTAAAGACCTAAAAAAAAAAATTTCAATGATTTCCTTAATTTAAAAACATATAAAGCTGATTTTTTAATAGATTTTCCTTCCTCTAAAGCCCTAAAAAGCTGATTTTTAATTATATTCCTTCATTTAAAAACCTAAAAAGCAAAATTTTCAATGATTTTCCTTCATTTAAAGACCTAAAAAGCTGATTTTTAACGATTTTCCTTCATTTAAAAACCTAAAAAGCTCATTTTCTAATGATTTTCCTTCATCTAAAGCCCTAAAAAGCTGGTTTCTCAGTGGTTTTCTACAGAATTCCCCACTCAGATGTTCCTCCATCTAAATGGATCCCACACAGTATCCTCTCCTTTCTCAGGTCACATGGGACAGCAGCCCTGCTCCCATTGGCCCGTTTGGATCAGACGTCTGAAAGCGTTTTCCTTTAGATGTAAACAGTAGTGTAGGAGTTCTTCTTCTTCACCTCTTGGCGGGGCAGACGTGGTGTTTGTTGGGCAGTTTTCTCTCCCAGACTTTGGAAATCCAGTCCAGCCTGCTGCTCCAGAGAGAGGAAACCAGGCCGTCCACTAGAGGGAGAGCAGAGGTCAGAAAGGGGTCATTAGAAGTAATATGAGGTCAGTTTGGGGTCATTAACTCACTGACTGGCAGCCATTTTCAGAACAGAGTCCCATACTGCCAGAGTTTTTTGAGCATTTTGACTGATTTTTCTAGA